GAACCAGTGGATGGAAAGACCTTTCTCTGCCTCTGCCTCTCTGTAACTCTGCCTTTCAAATAAATCTTTAAACAAAACAAAAGAAAATACATTGTAAAGCATAATAAAGCAATATAGTATTGAAGCATAAACACATCACTGGTACAGAAGAGACTCAAATATATATAAATAAATGTATATTAAACAGACATCCACATAGGGATTTATACAAGAACACATATACATAAGCAAATGGCTACATTTTTTTAATTCTCATTTTGAATCAGTATGAGAGAATGGATTGTTCAGAAAATGATGCTGGGACAATTAGGTTGCCATTAGGGAAAATATAAGTCTGAATATATACCCAATATGTGACAACGATCAATCACAAAAATTCCAGATTAAAAAGAAATGCAAGCCTCAAAAATAAAACCAGAAAAAAAATAGGATAAAACATGCGATTTTTTTCTATATTAAATGAAACGCCAAGGGCATAACAGAAAAGATTAATAAAATGAATTGCCTTAAGAAAAGATCATAATCTAAAAAATACAAAGAAAGGCAAATAATATACATATCATTTTCGAGATATATATGTATATGTAGGTATCTTTAAAGTATATATAAAACAAAGGGTTACTTTCCTTGGTATGCAAATCAATGAGGCCAACAAGCCAATAGAAAACAACCTGTAAAGACTGTTAACAGAAACAGGCGAAGAGTTCAAAGAACAACCCATGACTCTCCATCACTGGGGAGACACGAGCCTGAGAAATCAGATCTGACAGCAGACTCATCCGACCAGGAGAAAAGCGACTCTGGGACGCCAGCGGTGGGAGCACTAATTAGGGCGACCCTGTGAGAGCAGTTTGGCAGTACTTCTCGAAATGCAGAGTAGACACCCGCGACTCAGTGACGGATGCCCTTCTAGCCACTGGCTTTAGAGGACATTTGCGTAGGTGTGAAATGACAAGAGACGGGACCCTGACAGCAGCATTACTTGAATAGCCACAGACTGGAAAGAAGCACCCTGCAACAGGGCACCGATTCGATTCCGAACCTGGATATGTGAAGGGAAAAAAGCAAAATGCAGGCAGGGTGACGTAGCGTGCTACCCCTGTGAAAGATAAACAGCACACAGATAATGTTTCTGAGCTTGTGTGCACCTCGCCGCCCAAGGCACGCCTTCCATGCAAGATGAATGGCTGGGGCACAGGGCAGAAGGACCCTGGTGAGCAACAGTCCAGTTCATGACTTTGGGATTTCATATGAGTCAAGAAAGTTTCCCTCTTTCTGCTAAGGCTTTGTCAGCCTCAGGAGCTGCAGAGCCAGGTCCCCTGCAGACGGGCAGGCCTCTGCTGTTTCAGCGAGGGCGGGTGTGACTCCAGGGCACATAGGAGCTGTAGGATCCCTGACACAGGGCAGCACTGCTAACGCACACTTATCAAAGTAATAATAGCAACAGTGATGTCAGCAGCATCGCACACGTACTGGAGAAGATAGAGTCCAAGGCATCACTGCCAAATTTGCGCAAGCTCTTTTCACCAAAATTCCTGGGCAACCAAAGCAGAGAGATTTTACGCTGCACGAGGCATTCTTTTATTCTTTCTGTTGCGCAGTTGTAGCCTCTATTAATAATTTCACCAGCATTTATATTTTGCAAAATGCTTCCCCCTGATCTTGTGGCCTAGGTAAGGGGATAAGAAGTCTGAATTTGGAGTTATGGGAAAAGAAGAGAATTGCTGCGAAAAAGAGTTCAATACCTCCAAACTCACCACCCTCCGTCTCACAGCCAGGCAGCAGCTGTTCTAAAGAAAGCACATGCATGCCCACGTCCCTTCAGTCTGGGTGCATCGGTGTTACAAGCCACAGCTGCATTTCTGGAACACTAGGAGAGGGAGGGCAGAGTCTCCAGCGTCAGACAGTGCCGGTTTCCCTTCTGTATTCTTCGATTTCCTCCCTTTAAGTCAAGATGAGAATACAATACGGCATGGTGAATAAGAGCACGCGTTCAGGAGCCTGAGCGTGGGGACCCAAGTCCCCACTCTGCCACCCAGGGACCTTGGCCGAGTGATCTCACTTCTCTGCACCTCATCAGACCCAGCTATAAAACAGGGCAGAGTATCACCTCACTCACGTGGGATAAGGATGAGATAAATAGGCGTACGTGAAGCATTTTGTGTAGAAACTGGCAGATAGTAAGTGCTACGCAACCAGTTTTTACTGCTATGATCTCAGACCAGTCCTGGAGTGTTGAAGGAATAGAATACACAAAAATCCAGGTAAAATCCAGGGACGTAGGCAGAAAGACAGAGAGGAAACTCCATGATGGCTAAAAAGGCTCAGAGGACAAACAGTAACGAAAGTGGCTACTTTCCAAGATAAGAAAAAGCCACTCAAGACAGTGAGTCAAGGGGCCAAGCAAAGCAAAGCTGTTTCTTCCTTGTTCTGCAGACTGCTCAGCTGCCAGGTGCCACCTTCCGGTCGGGGTGCATGTCACTGCAGAGGTTTTATATCAGGGGTGCCAGGCTGAGCCGGTTCTGTGTTAGGGGATGGTGACACCACTTACCAAGCCCCAGGGTTCAAGAGTCTCACTGTCTGTGGCCTAGGGTCACAGGGAGACTTGACCTCCTAGACCAACTCCTGAGGAAGTAAGGCTGCCGGAAGAGGGATGGAAGGAGGCTCCAGGTCCACCAGCCTCTCTCACTGTGGGGCTCCTGCACACCCAGGGAACACAGAACAGGCCACGACCCACCGCCAGCTCACACAGCTTCTGCCATTGAATGGAGAGGCAAATGCAGACAGAAGGGGCCTTCCAGAACTCTCGGGAGGATTTTTCTGTCTTATGGTAATCGAGATGCAGGGAGAAGAAACAATTTTCCCCCAAAATTGTAGGGTGTATTCAAAATGATCTTAACAAACAGGATTGCTGATAACTGAATATAAGCACTTCTACTAAGTAAACATTACTGCATCTTTAATTGCTATATTTTAGCCATTTTAAAAATGGTCCTTCTTTAACTGAAAAAAAAATCTCCAAGCAAAATAAGTATCTCTGTAACTAACATGGTGACAACTGTTGAACAGTCACTTTGCAGTGCCAGGTACAGAACAAGATGAACAGGGACGCACCAGAATTTGTCGCACAAGTCCCCCAGTGCAGACTTGGAGGACGTCGTAGGATACTAAGGAGAGGTTCATCTGGACACGGGTCTAGGAGGGGCTGCACACACCTGCAGCTTCCCACCTTTGCTGAGAACAGTTTGGAACTATCAGCCACAATTTATCCAAAGTCCCTGGAAATGGCTCCGGCTCTCAGCCTGCCTCTACCTTGCAGTTGTACTGGAACCCTTTGGTTTCCTCTCCTCTGCACGCCGTGTGGCATCTGTCACCCTCTTGTGCCTGGCCTCCCCGCACCCCAGCCCACAGGTCTCAAGCAAAGCAACCTACTCAGAATCCAGCTGCTGAGGGTACAGCCACACAGAATCCATCCCAAGGCCTCGAGCGGCCAGAACTGTAGGGAACAAAATTTTTACCCACAGATCTTGTTCCAAAAGATTTGTTCTACAGATTCATAGATATTTTTTCTCATTTAAAATAATTAAACCCTCATCTGACAGCCAATCAGAGCTTCCATGCAACAGCAGATAACTAGTATTGCCAAGTGACTTACTATTATTTCAACAACATGCATTTTAGTTAGCCAGAGCTACTGATTCTGAATCAATGTTTGCTCTCTGCCTCGTCTATTCCCTGACCACACATTTATTATTTCCTTCCCAGAGTCACAGGGGCCACAGAACCCATGGACAACGCTGGGACACAGCTTAAAGCCCTAAAGACAGCACACTTTCCAAGATGGGGTCTGGCACGGCCACTAGTGACGGGCTCTACGTCCCTCCCCCACCCCACCCCAGCAGCTACTTTCTCTATGATCTGAAGTCTCGTCACATTCCCAAGGACCAGTGAAAAACATTTCCTATGAGCAAGAAGTTCATTTATTTGCAGGGGGAAATGAACGGCTCCCTTTGCTTTCCTGATCCTCCCCTCGGCACCAGAAACAATACTGAGTGACCCCGAAGAGAGCCCAGACAGAGCCTTTGCTTATGTAAGGCAGCCTGGAGTCAGCAGAGGGTGATGGAGGACGCAAACCCCACACATCCCGTGGCAGTGGGTGCAAGGGTGGGTTCTTTAAGCTAAGGTGCACAGTCTAATTGAATGCACTCCTTGTTGAGAAATGACTTAGTGGTTTCTGTCTCTGTGCATCACACTTTAGAGCAGGTGTGCTGAGACGGGTGCACTTGGAACAAATTATCAGGCTCTGCACCGCACAAACCCAGGTAAGAGAGGACTCGCTGACAGGGCCAGGATTAGTGGGTGGTGGTGAGACAGGCTACAGAGGGCCCTCCTCTCCTTCTGTCTCCAGTACTTTAATCCCCAAACACTAAAATTCTTTCCTCTTTGTATTAAAAAAAAAAATAGAAGAGGGAGGCTTTAGACACTTAGGGCATCTTAGGATTGAAAGGAACAATATCTGAGACCATGCTCCAAAAATAGGCCATCTGGAGGCCACAGCAAGAACCCATAACCCAGGGCCGGTGCCTTGGAGTAGCAGATAAAGCCGCGGTCTGGGACGCCAGCATCCCACATAAGCGCTGATTGGAGTCCCAGCTGCTCCATGTCCCATCCAGCTCCCTACTAATGGCCTGGGAGAAGCAGCGGAGGATGGCCCAAGTGTCTGGGCCCCTGCCACCATGTGGGAGACCTGGAAGAAGCTCCTGGCTCCTGGCTTCAATCTGGCTCAGCCCTGGCCATGGTGGCCATCTGGGGAGTGAACCAGTGGACAGAAGATCTCTGTCTCTTTGACTCCCCTTTTCTCTCTGTCACTCTTTCAAATAAATAAATAATCTTAAAAAAAAAAAAAGGCATTTTGCTAGCACCACATGCACCTGTTTTATCCAAATAGACAGCCACATAAGCACCAAAATGCTGCCGAGAGGGAAGGAACTCACCGTACAGAAGACAAAACAAGACCCTTTTATTTTTAAAACTCTGGTGAAATAGGTTTCCATATGACATCCCATTTTTTAAAAAAATTAATGTAAACCAACCTGTGGGTTAGTCACACTATACAGACTTCATCAGGGTGTGTACAGATGCCTAGAGTATTTACAAATGCTATTTGCTAGGTAGTAAAGTTTTCTTGCCATTTTTCCAGCACTTATTCCACAGTAAAAGAAGGGGGAGACAGTTCCGTGTTTTCGTATAAAAATTCTTAACAAATGGAGAAAGGCAATTTTCCTGAGAGAAGATTTGTTCTTGAAATATTCTTTCTTTAACAAGTGGGAATATAGAAATGGGATATAGTTGTCAAAGAAGCATAAGAATGTCTAAGTTAACATTTTTCTTTTAAATTATTTTAAGTACCATTAAGTTAAAATGTTTACATTCATTATAAAAAATGCTGTTAAATCTTATGCAAGTGATTTAACACTGATTGCTGCAACGCAAATTGCACTTTTTAAAAAAATTATTGTATACATGGAAGAAAAATATCTTGTTTGCTACCCTGTTTACAAATGCCGACTGACTTCCGGCCAGTCACACGATATGAAGTTTGAGAAACGTCAGTCACAGTATACGTTACAGTTCGAATGCGGTCTTGCAAAACGAGTGACATTTCTGACGAGACCCCAGGAACCGCCTCGGCCCGCGGAGATGTGTACCAAACGGCCTCACGCGCTCCTCTCCGGGAACACGAGTGGAATCTGCACGTGGACAAGCGATGAAGAAATTCTGGAACAACCAAAATCGGTCAGAAGAAGCACATGATTCGTGGCAATACACACAAAGTCTGTTTTCTGAAACTCTCTCCGTCCCCCTCGGCAGGCAAGGCCCCGTCCTGAGGCCTGGCTTCCGGCAGCGGTGCGGGGGCCCGGCCAGGGGCTGAGCAGGGGCCAGGCCGGCCCCGTCGTCTCCGCCCCTCCAGCCAGCCCCTCGGCAAGTCCATCTCTTTCGAAATAAAGGCACAGAAATCACGCGGCGGAGGAATGTCTGCCAGCAGAGTGGCCACCGTCCTGACTGCTGGACAAGATGGGACACGGGGTGGTGCGGCTCAGGCCAGGGCCAGCGCGCACCAGGAATCCTGTCGCACAGAAGAGGTGACCTCCGCCGACGAGGCCAGGTTGACGCCCATGTAGAGCCCGTCTTGACCTGAATACTTGAGCTCGCTGTTCTCCGGGTTGCTGCTCTCTCCCGCGCCGGACATCACCGGGGCGCCCGCCTGGGGGTTGCAAATAGAGGGGAAGACGGTTATCCACCATGCTACCAGCGGTCCCAAGCCCGCCACTCAAATGCTATGCTTGGAGCAGGAGGGCGAGAGAGCCACTACCCAGAGAGCCACACGGGAAAGAACAAGGCAGGCACTGCTCTTCACCGTCTCCACCAGCGAGCGGGAGCTGCTTGTGGTGCTGCAAAGTGCACTGGCCAGGCCCCCGCCTGCCTTAGTCTCAGAAGCATCACCCAGGTAACTTCACAGCTTGTGACGGCAACCACCCAGCAAGATGCAAGGCAGAGGAGGCAGCACTGCAGACTGGGGCTGGCACTGCGGCACAGTAGATTAAGCCCTGGGCATCCCGTTATCAGAGCGCAGTTCAAGTCCTGGCTGCTCTGCTTCCCATCTGCTCCCTGCTGATGTGCCTGGGAGAACAGCACAAGACGGCACAAGTGCTTAGGACCCTGCACCCACTGGGAGACCCAGAAGAAGCTCCTGGCTCCTGCCTCTGACCTGGTCCAGTCCTGGTTGTTTTGGCCATTTGGGGAATGAATCAGCAGACGGAAGATCTCTGTCTCTCTCTGTGTCTGTCATTCTGCCTGGCAGATTAATAATCTTTTTTTAAGTACCAACATGTAAGATCTCTGACAGTAAAACACATCATATAGGTAAGCAAGACTTGCATGAGATAGTTATCACAAAACAGAAAATGCACACAGTGGGCTCGGCCACCACTTAGGATGCCCACATCCCATGTCAGAAGGCCTGGTTCACATCCTGGCTACTCCGCATTTCCCATCAAACTTCCTGCTAACGTGTACCCTGACAGGCAGCAGGTAATGGTCCAAGTATTTGGGTCCCTGCTACCTATGTGGGTGACCCAGGTAGAGTTCTTGCCTCAGCTTTGAGCTGGCCTTGTCCTGGCTGTTGTGGGTGGGTATTTAGGGAAAGAACCAATGGATGGAAGGTCTCCCTTTCTCTCTTTTTTTAAAGACTTATTTGAAAGGCAGGGTTACAAAGAGAGAGACATATACACAGAAAGAGATTTTCCATCCACTGGTTCACTCCCCAAATAGCCACAATGGCTGGAGCTGGGCCGATCCCAAGCCAGGAGCCAGGTGCTTCTTCCTGGTCTCCCACGTGAGTGCAGGGGCCCAAGCACTCTGGCCATCCTCCACTGCTTTCCCAGGCACATTAGCAGAGAGTTGGAGTGGAAGTAAAACAGGTGCCTATATACGAAGTCAGTGTCACAGAAGGTAGCTTAACCTGCTGCATCATTACACCAACCCCGTTTTTCCTCTTAATTCACTCCCCCTTCCAAATATAAATAAATGATACTTTTTAAAAGGAGAGAGAAAATGAAATCTCTACATACACATGACCTGCATGGCCATAAGGCCCAGTGGTCAGGTTGAAGTCGAAAATGAAAGATACACAGTTCAACACTCCTGATGCAATGTAATTAGAGGACTGACTTCACAGAGAATAAATCCACACATACACAAGCATCCACCTCATTTAGGTCTGTACATGACTGAGCGAGGCTTGAATGCCACCACATTAGAAAGAATAAGGCTACATTGTCACAATTTTTTAAATTTTAGTAGCAGGGAGCCAGAAAGAGACAGCCAGAACTCCCACCTGTTGGCTCACCTCACAAATGCCGTCAACAGCCAGGACTGGGCCAGACTGGGCCAGAAACTCAATCCAGGTCTCCCACATGGGTAGCAGTGACCCAACTACTCAAACCATCAGTGCTGCCTCGCATGGCCCACACAGCAGGAAGCTGGAGTCAGGAGCCAGTGCCAGGCATCAAACCCAGGCTCTCCGATGTGGGACCCGAGCTTCACCAAAGCTCCACCCTCCACCTAGTAGCAATCATTTCTCCCCACAAAAGTTCACTACTCCATTTCCTCCTTTCATCCAAATAGAAAACATGACTTAGGGGACTCAAACCAAAATAACTAAAATCTGTTTAGACTACAGTTGGAGAAAACAGCTGCATTTCAAAGACTTCAAAAAAAAAATCTAGCCATAATCATGTACTTCAAATCCTACTTTTTTCCTTCTAATTCTTACAAGCTTTCAGGCTTCCACACCACAAATTATTGAATACTTATTGTTCGACACAGATAGAATAAATTACACTGCTCAGAGAATTTTTTTTTAACATACACAATTTCAACAGGTTCTTTACCAGCCATTTATTCTGGCCATATTGATGCTAGACCAACATGGGTGAAACCCAGGGTACCAGCCACAGGCTGAACTGAACAGAAGTGTGCTGAGCCTCCAGGGCCTGCGTGAGATCCACTCTGCTTCTTTTTCCAAACAAGATCTGGTTTGCTCTCTAATCTTCACAGTAACTCCAAGAAGCTGGGAGATAGGCTGCAGACAGTGAGTCCACCAGATCTGGTGACTTGCCGTCTGCCTATCCAAACTTCCTCCCCAAACAGACACACACACACACACACACACACACCCCACTCCAGAGGGCACAGATCCTTCCCTCTTCCAGGAAAAACATGGGTCAGAAAATCTTGTAGCAACATCAGAACTTTTGTCTTAAATAACACACATGTAAAGACGTAAGAGCTTGGAATGCATTTTAAAATGCAAATTGCAGTCACTGAGGTGTCTAAAATATACAATGGATTCCTGTGAAAGTTTTGAAATAATCTGAAATCATCTTGTCAAACAAACTGAATGTGGCGGGTGTGGTCCCAACTTATCAATATGTCGGATTCACTTTAGCCCTTACTTCCGGAAAGGCCACTATACACAAATCCAATATGAACCCCGATTTAGCCTCCAGTAAGCAAGGGTGACAAACAACCACAAAAGTACTGTTTGTTTTAGAAAGGGATGATTGTACAATGAGAAGCCAGAGTTCCTTCACAACAACTTGTGTCACACCCACAGCACATGCTGTTGGCTGGAAAGGAGAGGATGCCTGTGCTGACCCCAAAGGCAGCACCTCTCCAACAACCAGGAAGCACTAACGCAGCGGATCTGTTGTCACCATCAGAGTCAGCAACAAGAAACAAACAAACAAACAAAAAACCCAGTGACAGACAGAGCCCAACACAAGCAGCTCCCAGGCATCATGGCACAGTGGATTGAGCCTCTGCCTGAGATACCCACATCCCATACTGAACACCTGGGAGGTTGAATCCTGCCTCTATTTCTGATCCAGCTTCTTGCTTATGTGCCTGGGAGGCAGCAGATGATGGCTCAAGGACTGAGACCCTGCCAACCACATGGGAGACCTGGATGGAGTTCCTTGCTCCTGGCTTCTGCCTGGCCCAGCCTCGGTTCTCAGGGACATTCAGGGACTGAATCAGTAGATGGAAGATTTTCTCTCTCCTTTCCTGTTTCTGCCTTTCAAATACATAAATAAAAATGAATAAAAAGATTTTTTAATTAAAGGAAAGTGAGATCTTCAGTTGCCTATCGTGAGTGATCAAGGAGGTAGAGCAGCAGTCATAGAAGGAATCACAAGGAACAAGGCTTCCTAGGCAAGGGCCATGGCAGCCTGCTTGGTGGAAATGAACTTGGGTTCCAAAGTCGTCTTCTGACTCAGTCACCTGCCGAGGGCAGCCACCTCCCTGGTCCTAGCACTGCCTGTCTCAGCTATGGTTGTTGTCAATTAAATGAGATCACATTTGTTAAGAATGTCAGCATAACACTGCCCTGTTAAACAGTCCATAAAAGGAAGCAATTCAAGAAAAGAAGGTTCCAGAGAGGACATGCGATGAGACAGCAAGCACCTTGGCCTGCTCAAAAGCGAAAGCAGCAAAGGCTGGTGGGAGAGGAAAACCAGAGGGCTGGGCCTCAGACTTACTGGGCCTCTGTCTTCTCGTCTACATGACGGAAATAAGAGGTACCTACATCACCAGGGTTAGTTAATGTAGGTAAAGGCCTTGCAACACTGGCTGGCAATAGTGCAGATGATAAAAGTTTGAGCTGTCATTTTTATGACTGTTATTAAGGTTAAGGAGCCCAATTATTTATCCCCCCAATTCTACCCCTCAGCCCAGGTGAGCTACTTGCCACCAGCGGCCGGGAGCCAGGCAGCGGCAGTCGTGCTGGGCCGGCTGACCACCACCTCCAGGATGATCCTCTTCTAAGTGCTACTGACAGAAACTGGGGCACTCTGCTGTCACTCAAAAGGCTCACCAGCCCTTTTCCAAAGAAGCCACATCAGAGAAATCTCAATGCCTTGAATGTTGTTCTTATACCTAAGCAATAACCCAAAAGGCTACCTGTTGGAATAATTACTGCCTGCTTCAGACAATGCATTCATCTCTGCAGCAAGCCAAGGGGCGGGCTGGCAAAGGGTCAGCAAATCCCAAATTGCTTGAGTGATGAGTGCCTGTAAAAACATCAGCTCATTCGAAATCAAATGCAACAGCTAATCCAGCAAAGAAAAAAGGGCCCACGGATCTGTGCCCAGAGCTCAAGAGCATTATTTTTAAGTGGAGATGATATTTAAACATGAAATACTGCAAAGAGAATTTTCACAATACTGCAGGAGGCTGATGCTCCATGATTGACACCAGCTCCTTCCACAGGGATGGTGGGGCTGCACCTGCTGCAGGCCCTACAGGAGGCTGCTCGCAGCAGTGTCGAGCGCCATCCAGAAGTTTATGCTCTGCCCTGTGATTTCACTGCTGGAAATGTACTTAAGAAAACCATTTAAAAGAAGGGGAAGGCTCCACACAGGAAGCCATCCATTGCGGTGTTCCTTGTAATAGTGGAAACCATGGAAACAATCTGATGGCTCAATAATGTAGGAATGGTCTGGAAAAGCAGGACATATTCACTCAATGAACTATTACGCAAGTATTAAAATAAAAAGGTCAATGAGCACAATGGAAAAAAATCCCAGAATGCGATGTTAAGTGAAGAACGGCAGGATGTGAGTTCTTTATCATAATTACAACTTAACCATCCACATGCACAAGTCCCACAGGGGGACCCACGGAGCCATCTGTGAGGGCCACACC